AAATCCCAAAGCTCTTTACTGCTGCATGTGCTTGCCACCACCAATTAGGCATTGAAATGGCTTGGAGGAAGGTTTGCTTACCCCACCTGGTCCAAATAGTTGCTTAGCTATTTGAATTTCTTCCCCCACAGCAATGGAGCAGAGCATAAATAATCAGAAACTGCTTCTTCTGCTGGGATTGCATCTATAATGTATCATACCCTGTGTGGCTAGGGTCATAATCAATCATAGATTCTCAGTTGGAGAGATAGCCACTTACTGTCATTGATTCTTGGAGTTCTCAGCATCCTATTGGGTTGAAAGATAAAATATGAGTAGAACTAGAGATGCTGCTAAATTTCCTACATAGCCCATTCATTGGTTAATCTTTTTAATTGTACCTGGAAGTAAAATTAAGAAAAGTTCCCTGTTGCAAGTTTTTGTTTTCTATTTTAACACAGAATAACCAGAGCTAGATCTGTTTAGAGAGCTTACAGAGTGCTAGAATATCCCATTCATAAAGTGTTGGGTCCACAGACTCTCCTATGGCTTCTGCTGAGAGAGATTTTTGGGGCAGGGAAGGGAATTGAAGTGCAATGCCAAAAATGTTTGCTCCTTTTGGGCTGGTTGGTGTTTGAACTGGCCATTGGCAGTTTTAGCTGCTACATTTTGCAGGTCTCATTGTAATTTGTTTGCCTTTTGTGTGTCTCTTTAAGCATTTTGATGGAAGAAGTATTGCCATGTTTGGATATCAAGAGGCACAATGGGCTTATTAGCACTGTTATGGCCTATAATCACCCCTTCAATATCCTGACTATAAAATTATATACAGCTTTGCACATCAGGCAAACAACAGCATAGCAAAGAAGTCACTGCTATGCGGCTACAATAACTTTCAGGTATTTTACAAAAATTATATGTGGGATAAAATATAAACAACGGGCTTTAATTTTTCTGAAGACAGTGACTTAACTTAGGAAAATAATAACTTACAACTGCATTTGAACATCTATAGGATGGAATATCCCTGAATAATCCAGAGGTTACCTCAAGAATGGTCCAATAATATACAATCTTGCTCAACTGTTTATTAGCACTTTGCAGGTTTAATAATCCATCCCAATACACATTCGCCAGGTACATGTATACCTCTTTTTAGGTACCAGGTAAATGTGTGTTTGCTCAGGCTTCTATCAGAATGTAATTCTTTGCATTGGTGATACCAATTTGAGTCATCTTAGGTTGCATTCCTATGCAAATTTACATAGAAGCAGACCACATTGAGCCCATGAGAATTTACTGTCAAGTAACTACACATCGGATTGTGTTAATGGCTTTTGTGTTCCTTAGTGTTGTTTTGCATTACTTAGGATAGACAAAAGGAAGCACTTCTCCACACAGCGTATACTGAAATCTATGGAATTTGCTGCCACGGGAAGTGGTGATGGCTGCCCATCTGGATGGGCTTAAAAAGGGTTTGGACAGATTCATGCAAAAGGAGGCTATCAGTGGCTACTAGCCTTGTGGGCCCTGCAATCTCTCTTTTACCGGAGACAGCATATCTGCATACAGCAGTGCTTGGACAAGAGGAGGTCCTGCACCCATCCTGCTTGAGGGATCCCGTGGACAGCTGGTTTTCCAGCATGTGCCTGGAGTGCTAGACTAGATGGACCTTCAGCCTGATCCAGCAGGGCTTTTCTTATGTTCTTGCTACTTTGGGTGCATTGTTTTAAGATCATTTGGTCAAAAGTCCTATAACTCTTTCAAATGAGTCAGTAAATAACTGAAATAACTGAGGTCAAGAGGGGTTTGTCTGGTCCTAAGAAATGCCTCAGTGAGAAACGACATGCAGTGGCAGCTCCAATATTCTGGGGACAGGGGGCAGGCAAAGCACCTTCAATGAATCCTTTTACATAGGAAGGAGTTGGGGGCAAACCTTGACTTTTCTCATGTCTCTGTGATCAGTGATAAGAGATTCTTCTACTCCCTGAGAAATTGCAATCAAGTTTGTAAAAGTCTCCATCAGTGCCACTGGAGGTTTTAAAAATCCAGCTGCAGCACAGGACCATTGTCCTTGGGGGATCGTTACTGGAAAGAAAAGACCAAGCTGTCCATATCCAAATTGCCCGTCTCCCATTGCAATGAGGCTTTTTAAACACCTGTTGTTGTTAGTCGCGAAGTCGTGTCCAACCCATAGCGACTCCATGGACAACACTCCTCCAGGCCTTCCTGTCCTCCACCATCCCCCGGAGTCCACTTAAGCTCACACCAACTGCTTCAGTGACTCCATACTGCCACCTCATTCTCTGCCGTCCCCTTCTTCTTTTGCCATCTACTGTTCCCTATTGTTTAAACACCTACGTTGGTGCAAATAGAGGCTATTGAAGTTGTAAATGCAGCAGGGCATGGGGTGGCACTGTTGCTGGGGAAGGAAGGGCTAGCTCCTCTGTCCAGCATCATCCCTTGCCATCCTCTGTGCTGCAGTTAGTTGAAGAGAAGCAATCTGAAAGGGCTGTGGAATATCCATGCCCACCTTACCAGCTCATGGTGCTAAGCACTGCTGGTATGCAGCCCATTGTGCCTGTCCAGAACCATCGCAGCCCATGATCCAAATTGGGCTCCCATTGCTCCTCTACAGGAAGTTCTGGCTGGCTTTCTCTGGAAAACCCTTTTTTCCTTTTACTTGGGTATCTCAGGGGCTGTTATTTATTGATTTATTCATCTCCTGCCTTTCCAGTACAAAGCAGCACACCAGGGTTTGCACACTGGACTTTCTGCATGCACACAAAAGTTCTATTACCAGGCTAGGGTCCCCAAAATATAAGTTGCTCTAAACTCCTTGGAGGAAAGCATCAACTAAAGGACACAAAATATTAAATAAACAACAAAACCATTTCCCTTTTTATATGAATAAAAGTTTTATTGGATTTTTTTAGACAATTAGAAAGAACAAACAAAGAGGAGAGCGAACAGTCTTATGAACGGTAGAGCCAGAAAGAGCTTCCCGAGCACTGGAGCGTGAGCTGCCACAAGCAGCATCCCTTGAAAAACGTCTCTTATGTTTCCTGCTGTTATAAAAGCAGTGTGTGAGTTATTCTTCCCTCTATTTTTTCATTAACTTTTTTGACCCCACTCTTTCCCCACTCCCACTCCCACCCCCACACACCCCCAACCTGCAAATACCGAAAGGAAAAACCGGCAGTGAGCACATACAGAGACTAATCCCTGGGAAGCGGGTATATAAAGATGGCAGCGACCTGACTGCCTGGTGTGCTCAGAAGTCAATGAAGCAAGTTGTCTATGTAGGGGGTGAGGGAGCTTGGGGTGGGAGGAGGAAAGGGGGCTGTTGTTGTTCAGAAGCAAAGAAGGCACAGAATCTCAGCTAAGCTTCAAATTCAGTGCAACCTGAAAGGTGCTCTCTGCAGGGATGGTGTGGGCTTGGGAGTTGTCTCAGCCTGGGCAGAGAGTCCTCCTAATGGCCTCTGTGCCTGCTTGGAAGAAAAGCAAAGTCAGGGCGAGGCAGAGTGGAAGTGGAAGAGCGGTGGAGACTGAGCCCTAGGAACCCATTTCCAATGCCTGCTCAAAGGTGGTGGAGAACCTGTGAAAAGCGCCACCACCGGCCCCTTGGCCAGGGGCAGGGTTAACCAGAAGGATGTGTTTTGTCAGTGCAGAGAAGGGAAATCCTCTCCAGAGCTTCCAAGGGGAGTGTTTCCTATTAAGGAGAGCAACTGCGTCGGCATTACACGTGAGGCAGATGTGGACAGCGGGACTCAGTGAAGTGTCCCTTGGCTCTGCCTCCTCGAGGTATTACAAAATGGCCCCTAGTTCCAAGTTCCCCTGGGGCATGGAATACACATCTTTGTTTTGCTAAATCCTCAGGGGTTGTTGTTGTTTTGTGTCTCAGTTAAGGCTATTGAAGTTGCAAGAGTGAAGCCTGACAAGCTGTGCGAGCAGGTGAGATGGGGGAGCCAGCAGGGCCACAGAGAGACAGCCAGTGCTGCAAGAGGCGGCAAAGGGGCCAAGTGCGGCCAGAAGCCATTGTTGCGCTGCTCCTTGTTCTCTTGTTCTCTCTCTTTCTATCCCCTGGTACTACAATAAGCCCCAGATATCCAGCATGGGAAGGTTAAATGTGAATGCCTCAAATATGCAAACGTTCAACTGTCAGCCCCAAACAGCCCTCTCGGGGGACCCTGCCATGCAAACGCCAAAGCTTCAAAGCTTTGCTTTTTGAAAAATGCCAGCTACACACACCCAGAAAAAGACAGCAGCTCTTGTAAGCAATGAAGGCTTCAGCTTTCCACCCCATGCCAAGCCCTCCCTAAACTCCACTTCTCCACAGCAGCAAACAGCAGCAGCAGCAGGTTCTAGTGCCAAGCGGCTCACTAGGGAGCGATGCCAGGGTGACAGCAGAGTGTGAGCTCCATGGAGGTGGCAATGGGATGCTGGAAGTATCCAAAAATCTAGTGCAAGGGGGGCATCCAGTGTGGGGAAAGGGGAAGCGAAGAGAAGACAGGGAGGAAAGGAAGAACTAAAGAATATAATCCTTAAGCCAGTTCCCGCCCTCTTCCTCAACCTGGCTCACAATTCTCCATCTTGTCCTTCTGAGGTCAGCCTCTCCCCACGGCCCCCAACATTATCACGTGTTTTGAGCCAAGCAGCCAATGTGCCATCTTTAAGGCTGTTGAGGTCTCCCCTGCAAAGGCCCAACCTTGGGCTCTCCAAAGCCCACCTCTTTTATCATCCTCATGGTAACACCCCCCAATTTCACCTCAGGTAGAGCCTAGAAACCAAGAACGGCATCATCCCCACTGTGACACCTTGTGTGTGGCCCTCCCTTTGGCGTTGGCACATCCAGCTACAGCTGAGGAGCCCCTGAGATCATGAGGATGGGGTTGTAAGGGAGGAACCATCACACCAGTAGGACTGAGTCGACTGGGATGGGGAAGAGCACAGAGGAGAGGCTCAATCTTCCCCTTCAACTCATTTCAGGGAGGAAGAGGAGGGTCTCTTGTTTTGGCCAGGTCTTCACCCCCACACGGTGCAACAGGTTCTCATTTTCCTTAGAGCCATGGCCACTTCCTACACCAAAGAGCCGGCTCGGCTCTGTGCTGGCACCATGACAGGCACGGCACCTATCCTCTCCAGTGTTGCCTGGCTCACTGCATAGGAGCGTGTATGCTGGGGCCTCGGCTTCCGGCTCACTGAACCATTGCTCCTGGCCATCTCCTGTGGAGAAGGGGCTGTATTGGTTGTCACCACCAATGTCTTGGGTGGAGGAGGGGCTGGGTGGCCTCCATTGGCATAGACAGGTCGAGCGTTGGTGCTTCCAGTGCGAGAGAAGGGTTGGCGTGCATCACTGTTGAGGCGGGTGAAGGAGTCTGTGGCATGGTTAGCTTTGGGGTCATTCCAGTACCGGCTGTTGTAAGTGTTGGATGAAGTTAGTGTGTCATTCTCTGATGATGAAGCATCACCATGGAATGCTTTTGTGGATGAAGAGCATTTGGGTGGCAGGTCATCCTCCCTAGAAGAATGAGAGAACACAGTTAGGATTGTATTTGGGACTCTCCCTCAAGACCTCCATCCTCAAAATGAAAATGCTGCCTCGCCTTTCCCTTGTGAAGTACAAGAAAAGGAAAAAGTTGCAATAACCCAGCTCATGATGCCATTTTGGGCAATTATTTTACATCAATACCTTGCCTTACTCCTTCATTTGTCTTACACCTCCTACATCCCAGCTCTTGCTAAGCCTGAAACTGGAAGAATGTGATGGTGACCACCAAAGAGCATTAGAAACTAGCAACGTGGCCAGATAGTCTTTTTAACCTTGTTCTTCCTCTTCAATGGGGATAAACAGAGGGAGCTCCTTCTTTCCAAGTAGGCCCGTATTTTGACTCTTGGTCAAGAGGCTGTTCTTAGATAACCAAGTGCGGTATTTGTTCATGTGTCACTCTTGGTAACATTTGAAAAAACAGATTGAGTGACACTGGCATGGCTTTTATGCCCTGTATCAACTCCTCTGGTCTGGGGTGGCTGTACCACTGTCATGTAAGAGTCCAGCATGAGGTTTTTACATGCTGTAAGCTAAGTCTAATTCAGATTTGGAAACAACTATGGGATCCATCCTTCTTCTTCTGTAGTGGAAATGTGACATCCCTGCAGGAAGGGAGAGAGTCGGGAGGTCAGACAAAGAATTTCTTCAAGATCATACCTTATCTCATTGGGAATCTCTTCTTCCTCCTCCTCCTTGTGTTTGTTCTTCCAATAAAACAGTGTCACAGTTACCAAGACAATGCAGACAATGAGCACAACTGCCCCTGCCGCGGCAGCTCCAGCAATCAGGCCAATGCTCCGAGGGTGAGCTGTGAGAAACATGGAATACATGAGATTCCTGAGCAGGGAGATGGCGTGAAGAAAATTCACAAAATCACAGCAGGTTTTCAGTGTTTAGAAGAGACCACTGATAATCACTCCATCAAACCAGCTGATCCATCCTTTAATCTGGGAAAGCATGAGACAACTCGATCCGCCACGAATCTGTATAAGGAGCAGGTTTTTGTTTTTGGTTTATTTGCCTGTCTGTGTGTTTATAAATTCTCCAGAATTAGGGGTGAGCAGTGAGGTGGCCATATTTGCTGATGACCCCAGGTTATTTGGGTGCTTAAAACAAATGCTCCAAAGGGATTTTGCCAAAGTAGGGAAATAGGCATTAAAATGGGAGATACAGGTCTATGTAAGCAAGTGTGAAGTTATGCATTCTACAGTGAAAAAAAACACAGGCCCTAACGTTGCATATATGTTGGTGGTACCCAGGCAAACAGTGTCTGTCCAAGAGAGAGACAGAGATCTTGTTTTTGTAGTGGATAGCTTGAAGAAAACATTGACTCATTACATGGCTGCTATGAAAAAGGTCAATTCCATGTTGGACTTAATTAGAAAGGGAATTAAAAATAAAACTGCTGCCAGTATCAGTATCAAAATGCTCTTATACAGATCTTTGATGACACTATGTACAGTTCTGGTCACTACACCTAGGATATTGTAAAGTTGGAAAAAGTGAAGAAAAATAAACCATTATATCAGAGACATGAAGCAACTCCCCTATCAGGAAACCTTAGAATATGTAGGGCCTTTTTAAAACTTGCATCAAATGATTATGAATTTATTTTGTGGCATGATAGATGTGCAAAAATTATGCATGGTGTAGAGATATGAATTGAGAGATTTTTTTTCTTCTGCTCTTGTAATACTAGAAGTTGGGTTTATCCAATGAAGCTACATAATTGGAGATTCAAGAGAAATAAAAAGAAGAATTTTTTCATGTGGCACATGGTTAAGCATGAATTTCACTACAACAATATATAGTGATATCCACCAACTGTTAAAATAAGAATAGATACATTCATGCACTATGAATGGCTACTTAGCCATGATAGTTATATAGGATCAGAAGTTGTACATACCCAAGTTGCTGGGAATTATGAGCAGAAAAGGGCTGTTATACTTGTGGGCAAGGCAGATCTTTTCTCCAAGCTAGCATAGTCTCCTCCTGTTCTGATGTCAGTCCACTTGCTCTCTTCAGTATTTAATTGCTTTCAATTTCCATTATTGCACTTAAAATAAACCTCTTATTTGTCACTGCTAATTTCTAAGCACAGAAAAAAGTTGCAGACTTTCTTCTTAATTTCTAATAACTATTCCAATGTCAAAAATGGGAATAAAAAAAATCTTAATCATAGTGGGTGGGGATCCTGGGGAAATGGTCACCACAGACTTACAGATCTTTCTCCCACCATGCTTGATGAGAGCCAATTTCTTATGAAGACAGAAAGTATGAATCTCACTTTTCTTTTGTCTGAATGAACTAGTTTGGTATGGGGAGTGTTTGAGGGACAGATTGGTGGGAGGAAAAGGCACCATACTTCTGTTGCAGAAATAATGCCCTGTTTACACTGGTAAGGGCAAGCTGGGGGCTAACCCTGGGTACCAAGATGCAGGGTGCCTCAATAAGCTTGGTGACTCAGAGGTTGCTTGCAGGACAAACGGGAATGGAAAAGGTGTACATTAGCCTTCCCTCCCTTTTAAAATCCTACAGGTTGCTTGGGAACTAAAGACGAAGTGGAACTTCCTGAAACACGAAGCTTCCATCAATTAACTTTAAATTCGGTTCTTTCTCAATTTCCAGTTTGATGTCATTTGTTTTAGATAAAACCTGGCAGAAGAGGTTTTTACTCTGACAAAAAGTAATTAGATTTAATTATACCAGTCAACCAGTTCTAAGTCTTCTCTAACTGACTTACGTGCGATCACTTGAACTTCAAGAGAACAGGAGCTGCTTCCGATAGCATTAGTAGCCACACACTGATACTGTCCTGATGATGAGGTGCTGATATTGCGCAGAATGACTGTACCCTGAACTTGATCTAAATGAGAGGGGAGGAGAAAGAGCTGAATTAATTAGGGTCTCTGTGAGAGGGACAACCGTTCCACCACAATCTTGAAAAGGCAAATCCAGTGAATTGTAAATTCTTGCAAGACTCTTAAGAGATCAATGAGAAAATAACCTAGAGATGAAAGCATCAGACACAGATAAGCTTAGGCTTTAAGGAGCTTACAATGGACATTTTCTTCTCAAAGATTATTATTTTTATGGTTGTGAAAACTTAGGACCAAGCAAACCAGACAAGGCAACAAGAAAGAGCTGCGAACAATATAATTCTTGCTCTAAGTAGTAACTAGAGCACAATTATCAACCATGTGGCCTTTTCAAAAAAAAAAAAAATCATTCCATAAAAGAGAACATTTTCAGGTCCTGAATCAAGAATCATCCATGTATTTGGGAGGCCTAAACAAAGATGAGGATGTTCAGTGTTCTTCACAATTCCTCATCCTTTTATCTGTGACTTAGAGAAGCTGAAGAAGATTTGCAAACAAACCAAAAACAAACAGAAAAGAATGAACATCTGAGCAATTTATATTAAAGATCAGCTAGAATCCTAGGCTATATCTCTTCTCCTGGATATAATAGCTCTCTATCTGCTAAGAGTTATTGATTAGAGAGGGGAGAAAAATTCATTTGATCCATTTTTGATGCAAATATTTTGAAGTTTTTCCATACCAACTTATTCCTCGAATGGAATGAAGAATATGTGGATTATTCCACATTTCTATGAACTTTACTTACATCACAATTTAAAAGGTGACTTAAGGGCTATGTTCTTCCCCCCACCCAAATTTCTTTTCTTCCTGTCTTTTCTTTAACCATTCAAAACCGTTAGCAGTCACAGAACTCACACCTATCACATAGGATGAAAATTTGTTCTTAAAATTCTGTTACTTCCTGCATAAGTTTATGGGGGGGAGGGAGACAGTGTTTTGTGGCATTTATCTATGATGACTCCATCTCTTCTCCTTTGTAATGGATCTGAGGCTACCAGAAACAGTGAATTACGGGGGGAAATGGCTGCCTGCACAGTGCATGGTGGAATCATGGCTTGTTTTGAACAATTACTCTTGAAGTTAAGGCAAATCAAGACATGTTGCCCCTTCCTGGGCTAAGCTCCAGGGGAGATGAGAGATTCTCATTTTATATAAAGTTGGGTAGGGAGGAGGGGAACCCAGACACTGAAAATAACCAGGAGCTGGTGACGTTTAGGAGAGGATAGAATCAAAGATCAAGTGAAATGAGAGTGCATTTGAAAACGAGGAGTGACAAGGGAAAATAAGAAAAATAGACTTATTGACATTGCATGTATTAAACGAATTGTACTGGAGAAGGGTACTGTCAAGTCATCCAAAAAGCACTTCGGTCTCTCTACTCTTTGTTATTCCCTTACTTTCTCTCATGAGTCAAGATAAACATTCCAAATGCTTTAACTTCTATGCACTGTTTACCCCTGTTCATAACGAGGTCTGGTTTGGTAGCCACTGGGCAACCTGACCTTGAGCCCCTAGGAACTTAGTGCATGTCTGCACATGACTGGAGAACCCCACATGAAGTTTATTTTATTTATTTAAAGCACAAATGCAAATATAGTGCAATATAGGATAACTCCCTATGAAGCAGCTTACAAAAATGTATATAAATATAGCATCGGACCAATAATAAAACAAAATTAAACTCACTATAGTACAAAATAGCACAGAGTTAAACAAAGTCATATATAAGTTCAATAGATGTAGAGTTCAGAATGGGCTACTTGCCATGACCATCTCTGTTCATAAAACCAGCACACTCGAGTTGGTCATGAAAACCTCGGCCAAGAGAAGAGCGGTTGAAGCAGGGTTCTGGAGCTGTTAAAGGAAGCCTCAGCCCTGCTGCTGGACTCTGTTCATGTGGGCATTAGTTGAGCCTCAGAGAGTAAGTGGGCATTCCAGGGCTGTTCTGCTTTTGAAGGGAAAGCAATATTATTGATTGCGCTCAACACCCCAGGAAGTGGTGCAATAGGCTCTCTGTTTAGTACAGTAATTACAGGTGCTTTCCTCCTAGAAAGCAAAATTACTCTGGGGTGTGCCCCCATGGTCTGAAACTCAGCAGGGGGTACTAAAGGCCAGACCTTTTTGGTCATGGCAGCCTTTTCGCAGGAAATGCCCTCCCCAGGGAAATCCCCTGGCCACATTATTCTCCATTTTCCTTCACTTGGTGGAGATTTTTTTCCAAGAAGACTTTTGGAGATGGTGTAACCTACCTCCGATTATGGAATGCTTTTATGGTTGTTTGCATGCCTTTATGTTTTTCTGCTTTTTGTTTGTTTCTAAGGTTTGAGATTGTTCCAATAGCTTGTTAGTGGCAGTTTTTTTTCTTTAAAAGAAAGACTGGTTATTTATTTAAATAAATGATGAGAAGTAAATCATCCTTATATAACTGCAGTGAACATGATTCTTCATAGTTGGAAAATAAGTAATACACAGGCACTAAAAAACCCCAAGAAAGCAGAAATTCATATTTAAGCCAAATTTGCTGGTAAGTCAGATCATGTATAGTCGGTTCTCCACATTAGCGGGGGAGTGCAGGACCCCTATGAAAGTGGAAAAACCACAAATACCTCTAGCTCCCACCCCTGTCCAAACTCACCAGTGCCTCCTCTTTGCAGCAAGGAAATGCAAGAGAGATTTCTCTCTCCAGATGGACCTGCTTTGGAGGCTTTCCTCTCTGCCCTCTCACTTCTTCTCTCTCTACGGTGGTTATGATTTTCTGTAGTAATTTTTGTTAATCAATAGGTTTTATGGCAGGTCATAGGTACAGACTGTTTGTAACTCAGGTGTTCATGCCTGTACAAAGGCTGAAATGTCTGTGTTCATAAAGACGTTTGCACCTGAAAATTCTCCTTGCTTTTGACCATTCTGGGGGACAGGGTATGAACAATGCATCAAAGCACTTACCCATTCAGAGCAAGGACAGAAACATTGCCCTCAGTCTGGATTTGCTTTATGGAATCATTATATAGTCAAGGATTATTGACTTCATCAACTACAACATATTGTGATCTCAGCACCCTGCTTACCCAAACCTTGATTGCCTGGTAGTACTATTCTTAGAAAGAAAATGATACTGTGTGTGTGTGGAGCCTGTGTATGAATAGCTATCAGGAGAAGCAGTGAATAGCAGTAAATGTGGGAAAAAAGGAAATGTTTAGCTAATGCTTCCCTTTAGCACCAAAAATACTTGCCTCTTCATTCAGCAGAACCTTAAAAGTGTGCATGAATGACTCAAGGTTGAATTTGAGCATCTGACTGATTACATGATTACTCCTGTATGATTTTTCAGGTCCCAATGTTTCAGCGCAAGCAAGCATTTCAGAAGACAGTCAATGATCAACTGTCAGAAATCCCTGCATAATAAAATGAAGCCAGCATTGAAAACTCAGGGAACAGTTGATTGGGCCTTGGTCTCATCACAGCTTCAACCATATGCTCTCACTCACCCTACATTTGCAAACTACAGCCAGAATCTTTGAAAGAGCTTTAACTCAGGGACTAGTCTAGGAACAGCAGCAGCAATGCAAGCGATGAATTGCCCAACTGCAATCTCTTAATGACATGCAACAACCTTCATGGAAAGGATGGATAAGCTCCACACTGCCAATTAAGGCAGAGAATCTGACCTGTACTTATACCTGTCTTCCTTCACTGCTGCTTCCCAGGCTTAATATGCAAGAACCAAAAGGACACTGTGGCATCAGCTGCATTGTACTGACACTACAGTGCTGGTTGTCTCATAGTTTTGACTTCACAGCTGGTAAATTTGCCAAAAAGGTGGGCCACCGCTACTTTTAAAGAATTCTACTAATACCATAACTACAAATTCCACTAGAGGGCACATAGTGCTCTACAGGCTCAATTGCGTTCATTATACTGCACATGGCATTTCCCCTGTACTCATTTTTACTGAATTTTTGCCTGCTTATCATCTAGGGATATATGATTTTTTTCTGTTTGTTTTTGATCAGGATGTACCCACCCAGCTCGCACCTCCCAGTCCAAACACTGACTCAGATGCATGCTGCAGTCAAACATTCCATATACATCTGAGCTTGCAGTGCAACTTGTGGACCCAAAAAGTGTATTCAACAACATGTATACATGTGAAAATGTTCATGAATAGAGTGCACTTTTGAAAAACGTGCACAATAAGTTTTAATCAATGAGAAAAGAAAACATACATAAGACAGATACAATTGATGTGTAAATTTGGAAAAAAAAGTGCATGAAGATATGCATGGGTTTTCATGCCAGAAGAAAGCAAAACCAAAACCCCAAAGCGTCTATGATATGAATTCAACTCAGAACAAGTTTTGAGACAGAATCCAAAAACTTTGTTAAACTAGAATTTTGCTGATTTGCACATCCCTAACATTGGCATAACATCATCATTTTTTCTTCCTCTCCATGACCAACAAGCAAGGAAAATGGGATGAGGGACACAAAGATCACCTTGTGTGGCTGTTGGAGGCAGCTTAGGAGCACTGTCCAGTCTTTCCCAATGGTAGGTTGGCCGAGGGATGCCTTCTTCTGAATTGCAGGTCAGTGTGATATCACTGCCAATGTTCAAAGAACCCTGAATTCTGCAGACCGGGGCAGAGGGAGGAACTACAATGAGAGAAGACGGGAAAGTGTCAGACAGCGCAAGGATGTTCAGGGATGGAACCCCTTTTCTTCCTTTATGAGCTAGGTGGACCACTGGCCAGAATATGGACTGTTTTTAAAGTGAAAAGATAGGCTGAGAATGGACAAGGTGCCCATGGCTTAAGACTAAGAGGGAAGCCACAGGTGAAGTCACCTGCTAAGACTTTTGCAGCTTGCGAGTTTGCTCACTCATAACTGCTGACTTAATTGTGACAACTTTCCATTTGTGTCCTCAATGGGGAAGATCAACATCTGCAGTTCCCCAGAGCTAGCACAATAAAGATATCATTAAAATGTTTCCCTTCAAGACAAATTCTGATATTTGGAGAAGGATAGAGGTGTGTAACATTATTCCATATGCAGAAAGACAGCATTACTAGGGGGTAAACTATATGCTATTTGCTTGAAAACACCAAATATAAAAAATCTTAGGAAAGTACTACAAATAGCCAATGCATAATACGCCCCTTCATGCCATTTTCCCCCACTTGTACATAGCTCCAAAGTACTACTGCTATGATCTGTACTGTAATTAGTGCCAGACTAAACTCTGAACAGTCTGAAAGTTTGGTCTGAATGTGATGGTGGTGAGGAGAAACAGTGAGATACCTTGTCCTTTTTCACATTTTCAGCCAGAGGAGAATACAGATGATTGGGAGAAAACTCACTGGTACTCCCCATGGCTCCTCACTGTTGCCTGCCACCACATTTAACTCTTCGTAATGCCCCAGAAAATTACTTCATGATGCAGCAGCATCCAGAAGTACATTTGGGGAAAACTTGTTGGCCCCATGCATGGCTGTCAATTTAGGGTAGTTTGACTCAGCCTCATGTATGAAAGGATTTTATGACCAGTGAAGTCCCCAGCCAGTGGTTGCACTGTTATGTCATACAATAGTCACAAATGTTTTCAACAAGTGGGAAAACCAAATCCACAGCAAAGTATATTTGAAAATAGTCTTGATTCTGTTCGGCAAGTGACTGCTGGTTGTGGGGGACACATGGGGGTTGCTATGTAAGCAGATACAGAAACTGAGGACCAGAAAGCTGAATGAAAAGAGGTCATCACTTACAGAGAAACTGAAGAGCTTAGAGATAAAAAAGAGAAGAATGGGTTGCTGAAAGAAAGGTGTAGAACCTGACAACAAACCAAAGGAAGGAAAAGAAGAGGAAACATGCCTTAGGAATGAAGGATGACTTCAGGAAGCACTTGGTAGTGGATGTATGAAGGCTGAAAGGGGCTCCCAAGAACAAAGTAGGGCTGAAAAAAACTTCCATTTCAGACCTAAGAAAATGAGGAGTCATGACCTGGAAGATAGGGAGCTATAAAGTGTTAGGTTTAGGCTGTGTCTCAAACTGGGGTCCCAGATCCTTCCCTCCTCTGTCACTAGTTCTGTGTTCTGAGTGTAAGCCTAGTAAACTGAGCTCTGAGATTCAAGGGTACAATCTAGAATGCATTATCAGGCAGCTATCGTCAAAGGCCAAGCCCATCATTCCAAGTCTTTCAGACCCAGACGTCTTGTACCTCCTTTTAGCCATTGTTCTTTCTCTCCTGGATCATGATTCCTACATAACTTCTCTCTCTCTCTCTCTGTCTTCCTTTCCCAGATTTGCTTTGGACCATGTCCTGTCTCCTTCCCAAACAGTCAGCTTCTCAGGGTCTGCACACCTGAGCAGCTTTGAAAGTAGATGACTACAAGTCAGTGTGCCAAGGTTACACAAATTTGCCTGGTCCACATGTTAAAAAGGATTCTTTACCAACAAAGGTGACTGTGGCAGAGAAGCAAACCACCAGTCAGATCTTCTCTTTCTGCTACAAACTATGAGGAGACAAGATAAAATCCCTTTCTTCTAGGGAATATCTATCAATGCACTACTAGGTAAAGTGGGGGTGCAGAATGGTGGGTTAATTAACTCATGATTTGCCATCAAATGATGCTGTTATGTGCAGAAAGCCCCATAACCTCTTTCCTATTTTTGATCCATTAATGATGAACTGTACATTACCACACTTTTTGGATGCAAGAGCAGTGCCACGCACAAGCAGGGCCTTTTTAGCAGTTGCCTCAGTGTTGCGCAACATAAGCTTGTGGTTCGAGTTGTACACTACTGGTGTACAGTCTGTTCTGTTTAGACTTTACTGTGTGTTATTAACTGTGTTAATTGTGTGGTAGTGGTTATATTAAAGGTTCATGTTATGAACTGCTTGGAGTATCACCCTTAAGCAGAAGTTCAAAATAGCAGGGAATAAAGACAATAAGAGAGCACGTCTTCCAAAAACCTAACATATTAGACCTACTTATTGCCAGGGGAAAACATGCATACCTCATCCCTATTTCAGTCATTTGACATAGGCTGCCCCTTCAAAGCACATACCCAAGACGTTGAGCCCAATGACTCCAATATTCCGCCCCCCTCGGTCTGGTAGATTGTTGACCAAACATTGGTAAGTCCCAGTGTCCGAAAGCTGGGTGTTGTTGATGAAGATGGAGGCACTGGTGGTTGGCATCGTATTTTCAAACCCCACTCTCCCATAAAACCGGGGTGCGCCACCAAAAATCTGACCACCCTGGTAAAAAATAACCTGAAAGACAAACAGATGACACTGCCTCAAGCAAAGTAAGGGTTACATTATGGGCTAACTCATTATATACGAATTTCAGTGCCCTGTGGTTTTACTGCATTTAAAAAGGAACAATTGTTTGCAGAACCTAGGATAAACCAAACGGAGTGCCTGAATACTTACTATGCATTCCGTCTCTAGTTTTGTTACCATGCAGAAATGCACAATAGATTTGAATGATACAGGGAGACCTACAATGAAGTACTTCCTAAAGAAAAGTCTGTCCTATTTTGTTTTCTTTAAATTGTTCACTGTTAGAAGAACATTAAAAGGCTCACAAGCAACAATGCTTCTAAATCTGTTCTCCACTAGCCACAAGTGAATTATTCTGTGGATTTTGGAATTTTCCATCACCTGATTTTGTTGCCAAAGTAGATCAAATGGATTACAATCCCTTCACTGCTCTGCTTTTTCAATTTCAAATTTTATACAGAGCATTGAATGCTGGCAATTTATTGCAGTCACGAATGCTTAGCAATTTCATCATATTGTGGTATTTAAATAATGCAAATACATAAATAAAAAGGAACTATTCATTCACATCTTTCCCCACCCCAATAATAATTTTCTTTACATGTACACATGGGTAGGCAAAGCGATGGGGGGAGCATTTATTTGGTTTGTATTTTTATTTCAACAGGTCAAACCTGCACTTTCTGACATATTCTGTGACCTCAGTGGGATTGCCCTCCCATGTTAGATCTTTGAATTTTGTCATGTAGTTCTTTGGTCAAAAACATTTTGCAAAGCATATGAAAGAACATATATTATGGAAAGTGGCTTACAAAAACAAGCAACAACTTCTTTACAAAAACTTGCAAAGTGATGCAGGAATGGTTCAGCACAAATTTGTGCTTGGACAAATGTAACAGAGAAAATGAAACAGACAAATTAATACATCCTTAATCCTGATGCAGTAGCAGGAACAACTTGTACACACAAATGCACCAATATTATTTTTATGCGGTTCTTTATCATTCATGTGCATTAGGCATGCAATACAAGTTAAACTCATTTCAGATTTTCTAGCTAATATGTGAACAGAATCTCAGATATCTTTTGAAATTCTCCAAATTTTGCAATGGAGTTCTTCAAGATAATTCTCACAAAAAAGCATATATTAAGGAAAATAAAATTTAAAATGGCTAAAAGTAGGAACATTCTTTTAACACATGTACATTAAGCAAATGTCACACAAAATTGCATATTAGGAGAAATGCACACAAAATTTTATATAAATTTTCATGCAATTTTTCAATAATTATCAAACTTTGTGATGAATAGTAATAATTCATTTTCACTACCCAGGGAGTCCCATCTAGGACTATTGTGTGCAGTTTATAAAACCAAAAATAAATAAATAAATAAATAAATAATGAACATTGAAGAATGAGAAACAATTAAACTGAACTTAACAGATTCATCATGCCTAATCATTGTACATTTTGATAAAACAGCACAAAAACAAAGAGCAGCAATTTTTATGTATGACTGCAGCAAACACACACACAATTCAAGTGTTTTTTAAATTGATTGTTCATTATACAGCATGTTTGATATAGGAGATGAAGTCTAACCTACAGCAAAATTCCTTGGGGAAAATGGCAGCAAAAGAAGAAGTGCAATTCTTAATTACATGTAATGACTATTCCAAAGTAGTGGTATACACTTTTGTAAGCCATCCTGAGATGCCACGCATAGAGGACAGCATATACAAGTTTTAAATAAAAACTAAAATAATCATAAACATACATTTGTTTTTACACTAATGAAAATTGAAACAAATTAATTGTGTAAAAAATGTGGGCCATTTTTCCTATCTATCTTAAATTTGAGGAGTGTGCCACAATTAAAAAAGCAAATCCAGCCTGTTCTTTTCCCCTTTGCCCCTCCCTGTACACTTTTTTTGACCTGTATCAGCTATTCCAATGGAAAGAAATGAGAAACAAATTGATTTTCATTTGGAATTCATTAATGTGATTTTCCAGCTGTACAGCACATGATGTCATATGAATGGAAAACACTGAAGTTACAGGAACTAGGAAACTGGTTGAGTTGCCAATGGAAAATGTAAACAAATGGCAACGGTCAAATAAATAAACTAGTTCCAAATCAGTTATAAGATAGAATGAAAGTAAATGAATGAATCACATTAACATTTAGCAATGAAAACAAATATGTTCTCCCACTTGCACACCCTGTTGCAGAGATAGGTCTGTCACCAATCAGCATTGTAGTATCTGCTTCAGGAAGTAATAAGTTATGGCGCAGGGTCTTTAACCCTAGCAATAACCAAAAGCTTGTTAGGTTCCACAAGCCTGACATCAGACGTTCTATTCCATTCTCACACCCTGATTACTGTAAGGTTCCTTGATGCTAGCTTCCCTTACCTTGTGGAAATCATTGTTGAGACAATCCTTCTATGCCTGTATACCAAGTAGCTGTCAGTGCTTTGGACCTAAACATCTATAAGAGAGTCAGTGTGGTGTAGTGTTTGGACCAGGGTTCAAGAGCTCTGGGTTCTGGTCATTTCTCAGACATGAAGCTCACTGGGAGTCTTTGGATCAGTCACAGAGTCTCTGTCTAAATTATTTCAGGATGCAATGAAGAAGAGGAGAATCTTGTAAGCTTTCTTGGGTTCCATTCAAAAGAAAGGTGGATAATAATAATAATGGCCACTTCCAATGCTGCTTCTCCTTCTTTTGTTGAAGAAAAAAGCGAGCAGAAGATATGCAACAAAATGAACACATGGCAAGTGTGGCCCTATCATCTGGCTGTTTTCCACTTTTCTGAACATACATGGAAAGGCACAACAAAGGAAGAAGCCCTAAAACAAGCACAGAAACGGACAAGAAACATTAGCGAGCTGCTCTGTGCTTTCGTAAACATGCTGGTACCTGTTCAGGCTGGTTGGCATTGGAGAGTGGAGTGACCATCCAGATGACATTAAGTTTCGTGAGTGCAGCATTGGTGGTGAAGCCACAGGGCAGGACTGCTGTCTGGCCCCGAGCAACTTCCACACTCTTTGAGTTCATGAACACCTCCAAGGGACTCACTAAACCTGTAAAGAAAAGGAAAAAAGCACCCAAGTGACATACTTCAATCACCTAGGACACCAATGAACCTCTGTCCACAGCAACATTAAAAAAAAAGTTATGAGCAATGCAACCCTGGAAACCACACTATTAAAAAAAATATTAAATAGATGGACAGATGTAAAAAGCTTCTTCCCCAGTCAGATATACAGATCTCCTCTCCTCGCCTCTCTCCTCTCTCCACCCCACCTCAACAAGCAGGCTGCCACCATGACCCACTTTCTATGACCTCACACCACCGTGTTTAATCCTGGGAAGTCCATGGCATCACTCAGGTGCTTGGTGTGCAAGATGCAAGATGCAGAGAAAAAGACAAAGATTCGTATTACTAAGCTAAATAGCAGCTGCAGGGCTACAGGTGGGGAAGGCACACACAACTGCTTCTGACAGGTAAATGTAGCAAGGGTGACAAGGGGATGGAGGAGGAGGAAGAGTATATGCTGAGCGTGCATCTGTTTACATTGGGACAGGCTGACCCTGAGACACAAGTGCAGGCAGCTCCATGGACAGAGTCAAGCAAAGGAGAGGGCAAATGGAAATAATGACTGTTCTTGGCAAGCTCCATGCTTTAACCAAGGCTACCACCATCACTACTGTGCATTCCAAGCTATTACTTTACTTTCACAGCAGTCCCAGCTCACAGGCTTCCAATCCTGTACATTGATTTACACCTCACAAATAACAGCAGAAAGCATGCTTGCACGTGCACCCACACATATTTGCTTTTAGGTTACATTGATATGCTTATTTAAAAAATGTGCAGGGACTATGCTTTGATCCTAAACAGACCAGTATGAATCCCAAGCACACATACAACACAACTGCGTGGTTATGCTTCCTCTGCCCTGCAGGACAGCAGGGGATGCCAGCAGGTCAGTGTTGCAAGTCTGAATGGTTCCCATCTTAAAAACAAATCCCTGCCTCTGCAAAATAGCATTTCAGAGAAATGGCTAGGCTAAATCTGCCTCCATGACAACCTAGCACTTTGTTTTGTTATATGTGTGAAGTCTTTGCATGCTCCCATAGAAAAGCAAGCTGATGATGGGCTACAGTGATCCTTAACACATCTCCCTTTAAAAAAGCTTGCAGTTTAAATTCCCAGATTAAAATAATGGACACCTGCACTCTGTCTTTTGGCTTTACTTCATATTATACATCTGGGCCCATCTGACTGAGGCACTGGAAGCTTGCTGCACCACACGCTCCTTCGTGCAGTTCACCTGTCCAGAGAGAGGCTATGATCTGGACTGGGGCAACTTGGTTGGTGCAACCTGTATACTGGTCTTACTTGCAGAAGGATGTCGGCTTGGTGGCCATTTGAAACCTTTCAATGCTATTGCTTTATATTTTTCCCTTAAGTATTAAGGGAATATTACCTGAAGAACGCTTTGCACGTGCATTTCTGGACATCTTTCCTCCTTTCTAGGTACCCTCTTCACCTAGTGATGTGGGCTTTCCAAAACAGTTAAAAAAATGCAAATAAGGACTATTTGATATTAAAATGTTTGGTTTGTCTTAAAAAATGTTCTGATGCCCTACACGTCTAATTTTACTTGCATTTAGTAAACAAACTTTTAAAATATCCTGTGCTGTTGTTTTGCTCCAAGGCACCACAAGGATTTGACCTGGAATATTTGAGGAGTAAAATTAAAACAAACTGAAGTAATGATGCATTGGCCCCTAGACAGTGCTGGAGCAGGGCGCTGGGTTGTTTGAATGGGAACCAATCCCCGCCCCTGCCACTTTATAGGAAAGCAAACTTGAAAGTGGGGTGGGGGGATAGGGCATTTCAGGGCAGAGAAAAGGAAGGTGAAGGATCCTGATCAGCTTAACAAATGCCTTTTGCTTTTTGTAAAACTGCTTGCCTCAGAGAGGAAAAGAAAAGGCAAAAGAATGTTGATGAAGAGAGACAAGGAAGTAGTGAGTGAAGAAGACCCCCTATGCAAGGTCTGGCACACAGTGATCACGGTGCCCCTGTGAGGGGATTGGACGTAGACAAGCGCCTGGACGAGGCCAGGCATGCAGCGGACATGCAGACCCCGCAAGGCGATTGGGTGAAGAGTCAGGCAGACCCTGAGAGGGGACGGGCTGAAGGAACAATGGGGTGAGAGTGAGTGAAGGAAGGTAAAAGTATAAGAAGGGTCAGTTGGAGGAATGTGTGTGTGTCGCTTCCTGCCTGCATGTACAGAGCGGACACCTGGTTGCTTTCCTCAGCTGAATAAAGAAACTGAACAAATCTCCCCCTGACTGAACCTCATTGTCGCCTGGTTTGGTGGGTCTGTGGTCACCTGGCTAGCAGGGATACCTACAAGGAGTCTGGGGCACCCAGGATACGAAGTAGCCTCTTTCCCTCACCTGCTGAATAGTGTCACTAGATGTCCCAAACCTGCTGCCTAGCAAAAATGCAGAGCAAGGGGAACAGAAAGACGAAAATTATTTCAGTTGTTCCTCCTGCCTTGCACTGAATGAGCGTGTGTACCCTCCAGGTTTGGAGGCTTCCAACCACGTTAACTGGAGTACGCCCTTGATTTGGTTTAAATTTTGCATTATGTAGAAAAGTTTATGGGAATTGCAGAAGGATGTTAAAAATTGATGAATACAGCACGTACTTCCTTTACATACTTTACATACTTTTATCCTTTAAGGATAAAATAAAAAAGGTACTGAAATCTGTTGACACCCTAATTATTTTTTAAAAGCTGAAGACATGTTCATGATGTAATGACAACCATTCATCTATTTCCAGAGTTAAACTCCCTCCCACAAAGGTCCCTTCAATTTGTACTGTCCGTATTAGCTCCGAGACAGGTATGTATTTCAGTGATGTGTTTATATTTTCTCACATACTTCCTAAGGATGATCACCTGAAAACTATTAATTACAGTGCTGAAACTGCCAAGTTTGACTAACATTGAATTAGTTTGGGATGTATGAGAATTTAATTTTTGATCACAAAACATGCAAGATTGCTGTTGGATGCTCTGAACCCAAATGCATGCGTGCACTCACTGACAGTATTTGCAAATTGTTGAGACTGATTATTTTCATCTCATTCCTTAATCCTACTCCAGTTTTCATTTTTCCCAGTAAACTAAATCAGCTCCACTTTACTGTATAGAAGTTTGCACAAATTCCAGGAGTTTTGCCAGATTTATCTGCTGTGCAAAGTAAGCAGCAATCACAAACATGAAAGAGAATTAGGTATTAGATAACAAGTGAGATGTTATTTGGAGAATCTTTAAAACTGCTTTTTCACCCATCTTTATTTGCAATTGGAATTCATTTATCTTTACTAATGGATTAATGGAATTTATGTTTTCCCATGGAAAACTAAAATACAAGGAATTTTGGCATCCCACATCACTGTTCTCACTATGCATAGGTATGAATGTAAAAACCAGATTTAAGAATGGACAGATTTGTCAATCTTAATCATGTTGAGATGGTTAGGGTGGAGGAGGCTGTTTGTGGTTTGTTTGCTGAGGTCAAGATCAGAACAAATTTATGTGCACATTTCCCAACATGAGCTGCACTGGAAAGCTTGAAAAAATTCAGATTTTGGAACACAATTCTAACTTGGTTCACCAAAAGTCTTGAGAAATGTGAAGTGGGTATGCTTGCTTGCTTGTTTGTTTGAAGCCTTGATGAAGGAAATTCACATTTCAAGCCAGTTTTGATTTCCCTTTAAAAACATCACAATCCTAGTTTACAGAGGGATTAAATAAAGAAATAAAGAAATAAATATCTGCTTGCTGTTCTGTAACTGGCAAAGCATATGTGTATGTGAAGTGGACAGTGGGAGAGAGAGATTGCTTTCTTTCCATGTTCCTCTTTGAGAGGTATGAACTGTTCTGAATCTAATAACAGGATTCTCACTGACAGAACTGCAATTATTTGGAACTTCTAATCATTCAACCAGGGAGTGCTTCCCAGTTCTTTGTATAAAAGTGATTGACCAGCAAACAGGATTTTCAAAAGCCAATAGCCTACACTTCATGAATGGCAAAACTTCATTCATTCCAGTTCAGCATTTGCCAGATTATCTATCTGAACATCTAAACTAAAACTGAATGGTTTGTGATGTCCAAAGTCAGTCTCTGCCTGATGGTTGCAGGTATCCTGCCTCCATTACTCTTAGTGGATACCAATAACATCATTAGTGCAGTTCAAGGCCTTGAAGTTTTCGCAAAGGCAGCAGCCTGCACAATAACTATCAAGATTCCTTCACTCTCACCCCCACATCACTTATGCAGACCCCGTAGAAGCCCTCCTTCCCTCTGTATGGTGCAGAAGCTATAACCTCCATGCCAGGCTCCAATAAATCCCAAATGAATCATGTATTTTTGGTAGGATGCAGAAGTCTTGTATCATCAATCATTCCCTTCTTTAGGACTGCACAGATGACTCAGCTATATGTTGCCTTGATCTCGCTCATGTATAAACAAATGATAGATAAGGATCATATCTCACATTCCTGTTTTCTTATGAGGTTTCCTTCTCTGTGTTCAGTGGCAAAATGGACGAAAGTATTTGTTTTATATATGCACCTGTGTTATGTACAAAATACCATTGTAGAAAAGCCAGTAGTTCGAAGCAACACTTAAAGGCCCACAATAATGAATTAATTCACAGAAGGTGCACACTAGGTCACACTCTGCTAGGAATTCTTTCCACATATGACTTACAGAAATAAATAAGAATTCCATTTAATGTAGTAGGACTTGAAAAGGATAAATTCTCAGTGGACTTCTGCCTATGGAAGTTGAAACCATCCACATGAAACAAAAGCAAGAACAGATTTGAATTATTGTGGGCACCTCCAGTTCTGAAGTTCAGGCCTGGAAACATGCCAGCTTGCTGCATGCACACCCAGAAGTCTACTCACTTACATTAGTACCAGGGGAGCAATCTTGTAA